ATGATTATGCGACTGTGAACGACCCCACGACGGTTTTATTCAGGTTTTCAAGGGGCAAGTCATTTTAAATTTTCTTGACCGAGACAGTGGCGAATCGCTTAAGAAACTCCTGTCGGACACCGAAATGATGGCAGAAAAGCAAGATACTTCAAGTATATGTCTAACTTCTCAGGTTATTTCATAGAAGGTTTTTAAACTTATTGTCCCCTAGAAAATAGGATTTCGACTGACTTTGGTACATATGCAGTTCTCGGTCTTTTCAACGTTAACATTTATCGACTGCTTAGGGAAAAAATGCAGTAGTTATACAAGTTACGACGCTTACTCTCGTAATTTCCCTAAAATGCTGCTTCCGGGCTTAGAGCTATAACTTCATTCATTGTTCGTTCATTCATTCATTGCTTATTTTCATGGTCCAGTGTTACTTTAGGTTAGCGGGCAGCTACCTCAGGATGCCTATGCAATGGTCCCTCTCTGCGCCACGTGCGCTCCGTCATGTCCTTCAACACCCACGTCACAACCGGTATAACCATTACCTTCATAACAGCCTGAGTTTGAAGCATAGTTTTCTTATACAGGACGCTTTACTTTCATCTTGTTACACAGATTAACAAACTGCAAGGTGAGTGGTGCTGATAACAAATAGACTTCCGCTTATTCGGACTTTACCTAGGATTGCAGACTGCCAGTTTCAGACATTCAAATGCCATGGCGACCTAATGGAAGCATCGAAGCATCTATGTGATCGCAATCTCCGTTAACAACGTCAGCGATCAGTCAATAATCAGTGATCAGTCGTCATCTGCCCAGGCTTTAGCGTATCTTTTAAGCTGGTAATATTATACCTAATAGGTGTAAAGTAGCGAATGCTAGTGGAGACTACTATCATGTTCGTTGCCAAAGCCTTTGTGAACGAAAATGCAAAAAGGAATATCCATGTCATGCATCCGAGAACCTCTGGACCTCGCCAGTTTTTTTCGATTGACAATTTAGAACAAATAGGAACCGAGGATGATGAAAATATTCTTTTCCTTCTTCCAGCGAATTTCGATGCCACACACCTACGTTGTCATCCGAGTGCCATAAATCATGAAACTGTTGTAACATTTAATCATGAAGACAAATTTTCGAATTTCAAAATCAGTTGATTACGATTACCGTGATGATGACGGATGCCAGTTCGATCAAAATGTCGAACTTCTTTCCCGTCTATCAGGTACTTAATCGTAAAATGAGATGATATGATAATATGATGTAATAACAATATAAAAGTCATATATAGATACTTATAGATTTGTGCCTTTGTTATTTTTCCTCTAACCGACATCCGCTCTTCAAGTCAGCTGCCTCCACACTTTTTGGTTTTTGGTTAAACTTCGGTCACTCGTAATTTTATATCGTTCTTGATGACATCGCGCCAGTTTTTCTTTGATTTTCCCTTTCTTTTCTTCCCTGGTAGTGTCAGTGCTTGGACGACATTTCTAACGCATTCGATGTGTCTTCTTTTCAAGCGACCGAACCAGTTGAGCCTGCTTTCAATGCGCTTTTCTGAAATTGGCATTACACCTAAAGTGCTTTTTATGAAGCTGTTCCGAATATGGTCCTTTTTGCTGACCCCAAACGTTCATCTGAGTATTAGCTTTTCTACCGAGTTCAGCGGTTGCATAATATCTCTTCAGGGTAGTCAAGCATTCTGTTTGTTCCAAAGCACCTGTCCTACTATCGTTTTGTAAACTTTTCCCTTTCCCTTTCAATTTTCCTTTTGTACACTTTACAATTTTTTAGTTTGATGGGCATTTTATTGTATACTTCAGCGCGTACCTCTCTCCATATGAGCCCCGCATTTTTCTAACAATTTCTTAATCAACTTTCGATTGCAGGAATGAATCAAAGTAGTTAAATTGTCGGTTTTGCGAATGCTTCCAGCTATTTGTTTGCTTTCACTTTATAAATTGCCCGCCATATTCCGACTTACCTTTGCTAGCCGAAGGTCGTTCTTCTCAAGGAATGTTGTTCTTACCTCCATTTTTTGCTTTTACTGTTTCTACCATGGTTTCTCCACGCAGCACAACGTTATCTCTACAGAGCAAGCACTACCGAGCTGCTTCTTGCAGATCTTTAGTTATCGCATCTGGCCATCAAGAACAGAAATGAGCTCAGTGCCGAACCTTGATGAATCACGACCCGCATAAGGAACTCTTCCGTTCCGCAGCCTGTACTTCGAGCTATCTTTGTCACTCTTTCTTAACGTATATGTTTATATAATTCTACAAATATCAATACATGTTCGTACGTTGGAGTATGTCGGAAAACGCATGACTT